ATAACCAATGCCAGTTTGATTCCAGGTAGGTCAAAGCCAAATATTTGTGCCGAATTTCCAGTAGCCATAATCACAACATAGGTCCTGTCCCTTTGGGGCAGAAAATCAGAGTCTTTTTAAGACTAAAAGAAAGTATTAGGGAACAGAAGCGTTTACTTTTCTGACTGTGTCTCTGGCCCAATTCCATGCTGGGAGCTGAGCAGGCTCTTTTAAGTTTCTTGACCAGCTGTGAAAACGGCACTCAAGCAAAACAAAAGCATAAGGAAAGCTGCTGTTGAAATCAGTCAGTTTAACAAAATGATTTAACGTCGCTTTCTTTGCTACACATCAGTATTAAACCGTGGCGCAATTTTTTATTTTATTTTTATTTTTTAAAGTGAGAGACTACTTGAAGCTCTTTGTTAGTATTATGGTTACTGAAGTTCAATGTAAATATAACTTTTTATGTTTGTTTTCTTTTTCCACAATGTGGGACTTTATTAATGTGGGACATTTAAGCCAGAAAAGTATAAGGAGGAGCAGCAGGAGCAGGAGGCATGAGTTACTAAGAAGCAATTCTGGGATCTTTTCGGTGTGGAACAATAAAATGGCCGCCATGGTTTCCACCGGTATGACAATAGATCATTCCACCTGTATGTTGTGATAATTGCTATGTTACAAATATAGAAGAAGAGCCCCCTCCTTGAGGGGTCTGTTTAATGGTCTTTGGGAAGCCCTGTTTTTCAGTTAAACCCATCGCTGATTTGTTTTGATTGTACAGCAGACAAGTTAGACTGCGAAGCCCGACGCTTTTTTCGCCCTTGTCAAAAAGGACAGCATTTTTGTGATCGTCTGCAGAGACTTGAGATCATTGCTTCTCTTTACAAACCACGCGCAGCTGTATTATTTGAAGGACAAGCCGATCCTGATACGTTTCTCATTTCCTACCTAAGAGGTTTGATTGACTTTGAGCGTTGCAGCTGTGAATGGTTTAAAACCCACCACCCCCTTTTTAAAAATAGAAGGAAGATACCCATTTATCTCTGAGCCTTTTAGGTCTGCTGAATCACAGTTGCGTCTCTCAAAAATGGACTTAAATTATTTTAATCTGGCACCACATAAAGCTCTCGACCTAATCAAAGTATAAAGGCAGGCAGCGTTGTGATTCGTCAAACGTTGTTTTAAAGATCCAAGTTGAATAAGTCGGAATTGGCACTCTGACTTAACGACAATGTCGCTCCCATTAAGAAATCCCCATGTTTATAAACAGTTTGTGTTACTATAAAGAGGCCTTATTCGAGATTTCAAAACGATTCTTTTCGATGACTGAAGATGGCGTTTGTTAGGTTGACCCTGTTTTGTTCAGCTGATGGCTGAAGAATCTCCTTGTGTTTTTCCTACTTCAGAAAGGCAAAACTTTCCCCTTCAAATCTTGATGTTGGGTCCCTCGTTTGCTCTTGAGGTTTAGGTGTTTTGAGTTTGTTTGGTTTTCCTGAGCGGAGTACATTTTCCCGATGGGCAGTTTGTGCAGAGAGAATGTCCAATCGATCGAGTTCCATTTTGAGGGTTTCGGGGGATTTCGCATACGAGAGGCATTTGACAGCAACCTCTTGAAATTGTTAGCAAGTGTAAAACTGAGCGTCCGTCTTCGTTCCAGTGTCTCCATTCCAGAAGAATCACGAAGATGCTTTTGCAGACCTGGTGAAGATTATCATTTTTCTTATTTTTCCTTGGAGTCTTAGAAGCTGCCGTGAGGCACCCAGTAGCGTTAGCCTCTAGTCTAGTTCAATGTTTCTCAACCTCTGGAAGTTTTAAGATGTGTGGACTTCAATTCCCAGAACTCCCAAGTCGACACATCTTAAAACATCCGGAGCTTGAGAAGCAGTGCTCTGATACCTGCAAGTTGGTTTTTTCTTATAAATTCTGTGCAGGGCATAGCGTAATTCCAAGGACTCCTAATAAACTAGAAAAGGAAAGGTCAAGATTTTTTTAAGCAGGAGATTGTTAAGCGAATGGATCCTAAAGCTGCCTCTTTACCAAAAAAAGCACTTCCTCTCTCCCCCCCACTCCTCACACACACACTCCAATCCAGGGGTGGATTCCGGGCGGCCGTACCAATAGTAGCCAGGAGCAGCGGCTATCGTACCAGTATGGTGGCTCGTTTGGCCCACCTCCCTGCCCGCATTCCATGGCTGTTTATAACACTACTGGCCTATTGCACACGCACGCACAGCGTGCAGCGCCTGTGCTACCTCCACCAAGCAGCTGGGTGTCGCAGGGCAGTGGCATGCGCATGCGTGCGCAGCGCACGTGCCCATCTAGGACACCCGGCCCCCGTGCACAGCGTACTGGCTGCGCCGGCGTCTGGAACCCACCACTGCTCCAATTCCTCCCCACATATATCACATTTACCATGCAAGCCTTACTCTTCCTCCAAGTATGTGCACCAAGACCTTTCCCTGCCCAGATTCTTCCTCCTTCCACCCTCGCCCTCCAAATGTCAGTTGATTTTTGTGCTGAGAAATTCTGGTCTTTGCCTCCTCCGATCCAGGGGGGCTAATTTCCCCCTTTTCTTCCAGTGTCAAGCTCTGTCCTTAGGATTGGTCCGGGAGCTTTGGAGGGGGAGCAGTCGATACCCAAGAGAGAGACTTTAGTTTGACTTTTTTTTCTGAATTTCAGGCAGCAAGAAATCCCTGCTTGGGTTTCTACCTGCTTGCTGTCTTCCAATTCTCCATCTTTTCTTTAGCATCTCCACCCCCGAAATCACCTGTAAAGTTTGTGGACCCAGCTCTGTCCCCCCACCCACGATATTAAAGTGAATGTACTCCCCCACCCCCTCGGAAGGACATTGGCTGCATATAATTATTTTTAACAGAAATTTCTAAAAGTAATTTATAAGTATACTGAGTGTACATTTTAAAAGCAGACTATTGTATTGTAAAAGGATATACTGTCCTGTGTCACATTCTATAAATTTTACCTGTGAGAGAAGAATTCTATAAATGCTTTTATTTTGCTCATGACGTGCAGTTAACTGGGGTCAGCCAGCACACTTGTTTCATTTCCCATCTGAAAGGTTTGTTTTCTCCCCTTGTTAATGTTATTTTGTTACTTCCCCCCGCCCCCCGAAACAAGGCCGTCATATTTGAAGTGCAATTTGTGTAATATTTCATAAATGCAATACTATTCTATGGCTGTACAAAAACAACTTTATGAACAAATAACCCACCCGCCCATCCCGCCCCCAGCTTATTAAAGAACAAAAGAATGGAAAATAAAGTGATAGTGGCAGATGTGTTTCCTACCTGTTGATGTTTGTAGACGCCCAGCAAATATATTTTATTGCTATGTTCCTAGGGTGAAGGTTCCCCTCTCACCTATGTGCTAGTCGTTTCCGACTCTAAGGGGGTGGTGTTCATTTCTGTTTCTAAGCCGAACAGCCAGCGCTGTCCAACGTCGTCTCCGTGGTCATGTGGCCAGCATGATTAAATGCCGAAGGCACACAGAACGCTGTTACCTTCCCACCAAAGGTGGTTCCTATTTTTCTACTTGCATTTTTATGTTCTTTCAAACTGCTAGGTTGGCAGAAGCTGGGACAAGTAACGGGAGCTCACTCCGTTATGCAGCGCTAGGGACTCGAACCGCCGAACTGCTGGCCTTCTGATCGTCAAGCTCGGTGTCTTAGCCCCTGAGCCATGCATCCCTAGACATGTTCCTAGAAGAATGCTATTTCAGTGTTTCTGCTGCTTCCCTGGTCTCCAGGCACCAATAATTGCTTAGAAAATTTGGTTGGTTTCTGAAGTCCTGTGAAATGCCTGCTACACTATCAATGAATACCCTTGCTGCTTTTCATTAAGAAGTGGATACAGATTCGAAAGAGTGCATTCCAAGGGACCAATTTCTTCCTCAAACGCTGAATATTAGTGTGGGTTGTCTGGATTTGATCTGGAAACCTAAATCCACTCTCTACAGTGTAATGGAGAGAGCATCGTTCCACTTTCCCATCCAGCCAAAGACTCTTCGTGTGGTTGATATCACCGCTGCTGATTGCGGTCCACGGAAAATAGGCAACAAAGCCCATAAGCCAACATGCTTCTTCCAGATGGGAGAAAAGAGCCTCCAGGCCCATTAAAACTCCACTCTTACCGAAGAGAAATTTTGATGCATGAGCTACACAAGAAGCTTAGTGGGAAGATGACCGTGTTATCTCCCGAACGTCATGGAAACGGAACAGGGCAGCTCGAAGCCTAAACATAAACTTGGTCAGCAAACAAAATTGTGTGTTCTAAGGCAGGGGTCTCCAACCTTGGCAACTTTAAGACTTGTGGACTTCAACTTCCAGAGCAAAGCTGGCTGAGGAATTCTGGGAGTTGAAGTCCACAAGTCTTAAAGTTGCCAAGGTTGGAGACCCCTGTTTTACATGAGTTCCAATCCCAAGCAATAATACAAGCTACTCGTTTATTAACATTTATACAAGATGGCTAACGAAGTCTTCTCTGCCGATACCCATCAGCCTAAGAAGAGGATCAGATCTGTTTCTCCCAAGCTAGACGGGAGTTTTATTTTTAGCTCATTTTTACCTGTCCAGTTTTTATTGCCAGAATATGATATGGAAAGGTGGCCTATGGGCATAGTTGAATAAAATAAAGATTAACTACTCTTGTGTTCCATATCCAAGCTAACAAAATGCCTCAGTCAGGAACATGGAACATGATTTTCTTACCAAGAGGCACTTCCGCTGTTTTCTGACAGAAAACTGAGCTTGGTAGTCCTCGACTTATGGCCACAATTGAGCCCAACATTTCTGTTGCTAAGCGAGACTGTTGTGAAGTGAGTTTCGTCCCCCACTCTACACTCTTTCTTGCCACAGTTGGCAAGTGAATCACAGCACTTGCTAAGTGAGTAACACGGCTGTTCAGGGAATCTGGCTTCCCCGTTGACTTTGCTTGTCAGAAGGTCGCAAAAGGTGATCCCATGACCCCAGGACGCTGCAACCGTTATAAATACGAGTCAGTTGCCCAAGCGGCTGAATTTTGATGACGTGACCATGGGGACGTGGCAACAACCGAAAGTGTGAAGGACAGTCATAAGTCACTTTTTTCAGTGTAGTGGTATGTTCAAACGGTCACTGAATGAAAGGTTGTACATCAAGGACTATCTGAATGTAACCATACTATTGCTTTAATCGAATGTAGAGTAACTGACGGGTTCCGGAGTCAATTCAATAGTTCAACGCTACAGTTCAACGGTATCATTCCCGTACTGTTGTCTCTCGTACTAGTGAATCAGAAGCAGTTCTTATGCTGTCGGATGCCTTTTACAGTTGAATGACTTGGACTAGAAGACCTCCAAGGTCCCTTCCAGCTCTATTCCGGATACCAGCACTGTCTGTTATCACTTAAAGGCTTCCAGCCCAAATCCCAAAACATCTGGACGGCTTACTCTGTCTCTCCTCCTGCTTGCATTTCGGGATCCAGGCTTTCAAACAGAGGAACCCGCTTAGGAATTTCAACCACTCCCCCAAAACTTTGCCTGTTTAATTTTTGAACATGTCACACAGCAGCTTCTCCATAGGGGTGTTCCCAATGGTTCTGCGGAAAAAGAGAACCTCGATGCGTTCCGAAGTAATAAATTTCAGCGAAGGCAACAGCAGTAGTAATTTTCCAAACCTAGGCAGTGACACAGAAAGACGTAGCTATTTCACCAATCGTGCAAAACTAGAATTGTACCAAAGAGTCAGGAGAATACCCAAAAGTCAAAACTAAAATTTGTAATCCGATACCCCAAATTTAACCAGGGTGCCGCTGAAGCTCTGAATAATAAAGCCTCTGCTCAGAATCTCTCAAAAATTTCTATCATCTTACTTTTGCTGAAGGAATATACCGTATTTTTTGGAGTATAAGACGCACCTTTTTCCCCTCAAAAAAGAGGGTGAAAATCTGGGTGCATCTTATATACTGAATACAGCATTTTTGCCTCCTGAAACCCTGCCCCTTCACCAAAATGGCCGTGCAGAGCCTTTAGGAGGCTTTCAGAGTGTTCCTGGGGGCTGGGGAGGGCAGAAATGAGCAAATAACAGGCTGTTATCCATGCTCTCTTTTTTTTTTTTGACAAAAAATGAGCCCGTTTTTGTGAAAAACAGGCTGGTTTTTGCTTGTTTTTGCCCCCCCCCCTCCGGAGCACCTAAAGGCTATCCATTCCCCTTTTTTTTTGCAAGAAAAAACAAAAACAGGGCTGTTTTTGGGAGTTTTGCAGAGTGCAAAAACTTTTTTTTTTAAATTTGCCTCTTCAAAACCTTCGTGCGTCTTATACTCCGGTGCGTTTTATACTCCGAAAAATACAGTATATAAAAAGGAGGTTTTTGCTTTTTTAAACAAAATTCTGAGAGGACATAATAATATTAAGAGAACTTATTGTGATGTAATGATTAAGGCATTAGCAACCAGGAGACTGGGAGTTCTAGTGCTGCTTTAGGCACAAAGCCAACTTTTCGTCCAGTCACTCTTTTTGCAATCTTATAGGAGGCAATGTGAAACCATTTCTGGAAAGTCTTGTCAAGATAACTGCAGGGACTACTCGAGGCCATCACCAGTGGTCAAAAACTGGGTTGAAGGCACAAAAAAAAAAAAAATTAAAATAGATTTTGGGACAAAAATGGAGAGAGCACAGAAAATAATTCGTATCTCTAGGTACCTGACTGGCTGACTAGGATAATGTATATGAGTGTGTTGTCCCAGCATCACCTGTGACTGATCCTGCAAATTTTCTACCTGGTCTGGATCCTTCAGTCCTCTTGTTTCTTAAAAGAAAAAAAGAAAGAAAAACTTGAAATTCAAGTAGTGCTACTTTGATAAACAGATATTTATCCTTGGTGCAAAGTCTTACATTCTCCAGGTCTGAGATAGTTATATAAAATCGTTACTAATTAGTATAGGTTCTATTCTCTAAATTTCAGAATACACAAAGTCATGCACAAATGTGCTCACAAATACAGTGTGTGTTTGTGTGTGTGTGTGTGTGTGTGTGTGTGATATGCAACATCGATAGAATTTTCAAATAAGAGATTAAGCAGAGCAAGAAATATAATCTAGACAAAATCATGAGATAAGCAAAACGAAAGAAAGAAAGGCTAATCATCGTTCTAATCGGTGTAAAGTCTAGACCAGTGTTTCTCAACCTTGGCAACTTGAAGATGTCCGGACTTCAACTCCCAGAATCCCCCAGCCAGCGAATTCTGGGA